CCTGTCTCTCTGGCTGATGATGGAGGTGGGGGAAGGAGGGTGTCAGGGTGGTGCTGAGAGGGCTTGGTGACATTGGGGCGGGGTGGGGGGTGGCGGGGCACTGGGCCTAGGACATGCGCTCTGCCTCTGACGTCTCTCCCTGCACTCTAGGCCTCTGCTTGTACTACTGACGACATCATGTTGGTGGGCTCTAGGCTGGATGACAAGGACAACAGTGTCAGAATCCAAGCTCTGAACACGCTTAAAGCTTTCTCTGGCATCAGAAAATTCAGGCTCAAAATTCAGGTGAGCCCAGGGGCAAGAGATGGGGCCGAGTACACAGGATGCCCACAGTCCATGGGTCCCTTAAAGGGCATAGGATAGGTGGTCACGTTCCAGAGGTTTGTTTGGGTCTGAGTTTATAACCCAGAAGTGGGGTTTTCCTTGGAAGTAAGGGGGAAGACGGTGGTCAGATTCCCAGCAGGGTCGTTAAAAGCCTTTGACTCTCAAGATGAAACTGGACTAGGGCTCTAGGGCTAGGAGTATCTGGGAACCCCAAACGGCAGAAAGCCCCTGAGGTTCTTTCTGACACCAGCTGACTCTCTGACACCAGCTGGGTGACCTACAATTTAACGCTGACACTACCTGGAGTTAGCACAGGCTCCACAGTTTAAGGGCTTAGTCACACCAGACTGCCCCCAACTCAGATACTAGTCACAAGTCCCAGTAATTTTGACTGACCGGCTATAAATTTGGAGGTTCCCATGACCCCCTTTTTTCGGGTTTGATAATCCACTAGAAAGACTCTCTCAACTCAAGAAAACACAACTTACCTTACTGGTTTATTGTAAAAGATACAACTGGGGAGCAGCCAAGTGGGAGAGATGCTTAGGGTGAAGTATGGGGAAGGGTCAGAGATTCCATGCCTCCTCTTGGCTCGCCTCCCCCCTAGCACCTGGAGTGGTTCAACCGGGAAGTTCTCTGAACGCTGTCATCTGGGGGATATTTGTGAAGTCTCACTGTGTAGGCATGATTGATTAATCATCGGCCATCGGAGATTAAACTCACTCTCTAGCCCCTCTTTTCTCCCCAGAGGTCAGGGATGGGACTAGAAGCCTCAACCCTCTAATCATGACTTGGTCTTTCTGGGCACCAGCCCCCACCCAGAAGCTATCTAGAGGTACAACACAAGTCACCTCATTAGCATAAACCCAGGGGCGGTGGAAAGGGGCTCATTGTGAATAACAGACACCCTCCAGTCAGGAAATGGCGAGGATTTTTGGAGCTTTGTGCCTGGAACCAGGGTCAAAGACCAGATGTACTATCATAACACACGCCCCCCCCCCCCC